GTGTGTGTGTGTATATATATATATATATATATATATATATATATATAGTCTATTTATCATCTATCAACCTATTGTCTATCTATATCCATCCATCCATCTAACCTGTCTCTCTTACTGTTTCTCTAATATCTGTCTCTAATCTGTCTTCTTTATCTCTATCTTTAATTTGTCTCTGTCAGTCTGTCTATAATTTATCATCTATCTATCCCTCTGTATCCCTCCCTCCATCTCTGTCTACTGTCTCTCTAATATATCTGTTTCTAATCTTCTGTCTACCTTATCTCTATCATCTATCTATTCTCTATCTCTATATCTATTATCTTCTATCTGTCAAACATCTCTGTTGTCTATCGTCTATACCTATCTACCTACCTACCATCTGTCTATTGTCTATCATCTATAATCTACCTACCTATCATCCGTCTATTATCGTCTCTGTCTCTCTTTTCTCTCTATATATATATTGTCTATTTATCATCTATCAATCTATTGTCTATCATATATCATCCATCCATCCGTCCATCCATCTATCTAACCTATCTCTCTTACTGTTTCTCTAATATCTCTCTCTAATCTGTCTGTCTTCTTTATCTCTATCATCTCTACCTTTAATTTGTCTCTGTCAGTCTGTCTGTCTATAATTTATCATCTATCTATCCCTCTGTATCCCTCCCTCCCTCTGTCTCTGTCTACTGTCTCTAATATATCTGTCTCTAATCTTCTGTCTACTGTATCTCATCTATCTCTAATCTGTCTGTCAGTCTTTCTTGTCTGTCTGTCTCTATCATCTATCTACCTGTAGCTGTCTATCATTTCGTTTACAATTTTATATAGTATAATTTATGTTTTATTTCTGTGTACAGAATCTACCAAAAGTCAGACCCCATGTAGAATTTATTATATAATATACAGTAGAATCTCTGGTCACGGACACTTCTGACCATGACCAAATCGAGTTCTGATCAAAAAATTCACAAAATGTTTGAATCTGGTTACAGGGTGGTGATCAAACACGATCCCTGACCCAGAAATTCCTGAAGACGAAACAATAGAAGATGAAGAAATTGCCAAAGTTAGGGAACAAATTGTGGTCGTGACCAGAGGTTCTACTATATATGACATGTTCCAGTTGGTTGCCATTTTCTTCTGAACACCACCTTACTCCTTTTACCCCCTCAGTCTTTGAATGTTTCTAAATACAGCAATATTTTCACTGGCGAAAAAATAAATATCTTGCGATTGGCCTATAGGGCTGGGCGTGTGTATGTGATATACAACCAATAAAAAAACATGGTCTTTTTGGGACACATATATATGTACACACAAAAGTAATTTGATACACAATGGAAAAAAACCTAGCCCTTTGCATGTCTCTCCTAACCCAAGTGTGGACATGCTGTTTCCCTCCTCACTCCCAGTATGCAGACTGCGACCTTGCAGGATGCTGAATTGGGAAAGGATACAGTAAAAGCTGAAGTAAAAGTTGCTACTTTATGATCCTTGTTTCTTTTTGAATTTGCACAGGGGCTCTCCCAAGTTTACCTTGAATTTGTAAAATTGCATGACTGGGGAAGTGAGTTTGGAAAGCCTTTGAATAAAACTCTGCTGCTTTGATCTTGAAGTTGGTGTAGGGCCATCTGCTGATTCATAAAATTTACAGAAAGATCTTTTCTACAAAGACACAAGAGATCTGGAGTTCTGTAAGCTGTTATGTATAAACGACACGCCTCCTGCTTACATGAGACTTGTATAACATATATAATACTTTCTTTTCCTAACTTTACATCAGTTCCTTGGTGAAAAGCAAACTCTTTGGCTTCACATGGTTGCTGGACCCCAGGGGGAAAGATGGAGGAGACCAACCAGAAACAACATCGCAAGAAGCATAGCGGTCCCAAGGCTGGCAAGAAAAAGAAGCGCCATTTGAAAGATTTAGGAATCGAAGATGAAGAGGATGCAAGGAAGAGAAACCCCAAGGCCTTCGCGGTCCAGTCTGCAGTCCGCATGGCCAGATCCTTCCACAGGTCTCATTTACGACTAGATTCACTCTGCTAATCCTACCGCCATTATTGGCTCCAGGCAGTCTTCTATGGGGTGGGAAGGCAAATTGTACTATAGCAAATAAGATCTGTTTGGATTGTTTGTAAAAAAAATAAAAATAAAGGCAGGAGGATACAAATGAATATAAATAAATACATACCCTCAGTCTAGGACAAAGCATGGGCAAGCTTATAGTTTACAGTACAATGAGAGAAATTAAATTGAGCAGATGAAGGCTTTCTGTAGAGGTGGAGGCTCTCTGACTAAGTTTGAGACGTATCTCACCGATCCCCGTAGCAGTGTGCAGGACCCCAAGGATGCATCATGTAATTTGGGGGGAATGTGACCAGACTCCCCAAACTTCTTACTAGATGAAATAAATTTCTCTTCTGCCTGGCTAATAGATAGGATTTAAGAAAAAGCTACGTAATCACTGAGCTAAACAAATATCCAGTTTTGTTATTTTTTTTCTATTTGTTTCTGCATTCCTGTATTCTCTGGAATAAGCTTCAAGTGAAGGGCAGCCTGTTTCTGAAACTTTGCAATGTAAGAATGAGAGCCTAAGTCCCTCCCCTTCCCCAGAAGCTCCCTGTTTTGATAGAATCTTAACGGCCTTTATTAAAACATGGTAAAATGAATCAGCCATTATTTTTAACACTTGACTTTCCAGTTAGAGTACGTAGTATATCCTTTGCATGGAGTGGATGGCAGGGATTGCATATGAAAATGTTTGGAAACCTCTCGGTGCTACTAATAAACCAGGGCCTACTACAGGTAGTCCTCGATTTGCAACTGTTTGTTTAGTGATTGCTTGAAATTACAACGGCACTGAAAAAAGTGACTTGTGACTGTTTTGCACGGTTACGACTATTGCAGCCTCCCCCATGGTCAGGTGATCAAAATTCGGCCACTTGGCAAATGACTCATATTTATGATGGTCACAGTGTCCCCGCAGTCAACGCAATCCCCTTTTGCGACCTTCTCACAAGCCGAGTTACTGAGGGAGCCAGATTCACTTAACAACCATGTGACTCACTTAACAACTGTGGCAAGGAAGGTCTTAAAACGAGGCAAAAGTTCACCTTAGCAGCTGTCTCTCTCAGCAATGGAAATGTTGGGCTCTGTTGCAGCTGTAAGTCGAGGACTACCTGTGTTTACACTTGAACGTAGTCGACATGATCACATGATTTTGCTTTGAACTCAACTGCAACTCTTATCCTTGAAATAGGACCCAGGATCTGAAAACCAAAAAGCACCATATTCCAGTGGTGGATCGCACTCCCTTGGAACCCCCTCCAGTAGTGGTGGTGGTGGTTGGCCCTCCCAAGGTTGGCAAAAGCACCTTGATAAGATGCCTCATTAAGAACTTCACAAGGCAGAAATTGGTCGAAATTCAAGGCCCTGTCACCATCGTGTCAGGTAAGAAACCAAAACCCACCTCTGTAGTTTGCATCCATCACAGCTCTCAGTTTTCTTTCTACTCTGAAAGAGAGATCAGTGCTGAGCAGAGCCTTGCAATTCGTTTCCGGGTGAAAATCTGACCCCAAAACATCTTCCTTCCTGTCCTCACCGCTTTCTATAGAGGGATGATCGAGAGCGTCTGTTCTGACCTAGGCTTCCCCAACTGCACAAAGCCAACTCCTCGTCCCATTAAACCCCTTTTATTTAGTTTACAGTGAATTCCTCTCCAGCAAAGTCCCGGCCAACAGTCTTTCAAGAGATTTCACAACTACAGACCTTTATCAGGCTTGGAGAGTTGCCAGGCTGATATCTTCCAAACACCACACTAGCAGACAATACTTGGCAAGGAGTTAGGAACAGTTCTTCACCCTAATGAACTAATTGTCTCCTGCAAAACCCCACTCCTCTTTTGCTCCTCTTTTATTCCCAATGGGAGGGGCCGTTCACTGCCCACCTGTGCCTTTACTTGCAAGTTGACCCTTGTTCCTTAGTTGTTCCCCTCGTCCGGCAGCTCTGTGCATGTGCACATTGGGAACAGGCTCCAGCTGTTGTTCTGCCTCACTAATCTCCGACTCCAAAGGCAGCTGATAACTGTCGGAGGGCCCTGGCCCCATCTCTGCTTCCGACGCAGAGCCCTCGTCTGAGCCTTCCCCAGACTCCAGGACTGGCCCATGTTCCTCCCCAACCTCCTCACTGTCCGAGTCTGCCACCAGCTCCACTGGCTTCTGGAGGGCCACAACAGCAACCTGTGGTCACCATCTTTGTATTTTTAAACAAAGTTGTAATATTCCTTGTTAGGGTTTTGGGAATTAACCCCTAGCAGAGTATTGCAGCAGTAGTCAAACCAAGAAGCCAAAGGAGAGTGGAAGGGCCCCAGAGTATACACACACTGAACACAAACACTGTTTGTAGTTTAAATAGTTTTTAATCCAGTTAGAGTTTAAGCATTGTCATTCAGTCCATTAAGTCATTCACAGTATTTCCATCCAGTAAGACTCACTATTACAGTCCAAGTTAAGAGTCCTTGCAATATCTTTATCAGCCGATAAAGATATCTTTTCCTCCTCCGGTTTCACTCTCCAGAGAAACAAACGCTGGATATTCAGCAAACAGTAGCAAACAAAAACAGTTCAGTCACAGGCACTCACAGTCAGTAATCACAGTTAGTCGCAGCAGCACACAGTTACAGCCAGAGACAGACAGTTCACAGTTACAGCCAGACACAGTAAGCTTTCCAGCTCCTAATGCTTCCTTATATAGTAACTTCTAACCGCACCCTTAATCGGCTAATTGCCTGCTGCATTGTGCTTAAAGTGATAAGCACTTAAACCATGATATCTAAGTTTTATATATTTATTCACCCAAACCATATTTGGTATCAATGTTATACCTAACAT